GGGATGTGGCGAGATCGGGGCTGGAATGTGGCGGGATGGTGGCGGGAATGTGGCGGGATCGTAGCGGGATCGTGGCAGTTTCGCGGCGGATGTAGCGGGATCGTTGGGGATGCGGTGGATGGTGATGGGAGGGGCGCGATGATGGGGGATGTGCCTGGGATGTGCGAGATGGGGCTGGAATGTTGGCGGGAATGTGGGGGAATGTGGCGGGATCGTAGCCGGGATGGGGTGCAGTTCGGGCGGGATCGTAGCGGGATGTGCGGGATGGGGTGTTGCTGGTGAGGGAGGGTGCGCGATGAATGGCGGATCGTGCTGGGATGTGGGCGGAGATCGGGGCTGGAATGGTGGGCGGGATCGTAGGGGATCGGGCAGGTTCGCGGTGGGATGTAACGGGATGTTGGCGGATGGTGGTGTGATGGTGACGGGAGGGTGGCGATGATGGGAGGGATCGGTGCCTGGGATGTGGGTAGATGGGGCTGGAATGTGGCGGGAATGTGGCGGGTCGGTGCGGGGATCGTGGCAGGTTGCGGCGGGATGTGGCCGAATCGTGGGGATGGTGGTGTATGGTTGACGGGAGGGTGGCGATGATGGCGGATCGTGCTGAGATGTGGCGAGATGGCTGGAAGTGGCGGGAATGTGCCGGGCATCGTAAGCGGGATCGTGGAAGGTTCGGCGGGATGTAGCGGGATGTGGAGGGATTGGTGGTGTGATGGTGACGAGGGTTGCGCGATGATGGGGGATCGTGCTGGGATGTGGCGCAGATCGGGTCTGGAATGTGGCGGGAATGTGGCGGGAGTGGCGGGATCGTAGCGGATCGTGGCAGTTCGCGGGGGATGTAGCGGGATCGTGGCGGGATGGTGGTGTGATGGTGACGGGAGGTGCGGCGATGATGGGGGATCGTGCTGGGTGTGGCGAGATGGGGCTGGAATTGGCGGGATGTGGGGGATCTAGGGGGATCGTGGGCAGGTTCGCGGTGGGATCGTAGCGGGATCGTGGCCGGATGGTGGTGTGATGGTGAGGGAGGTGCGCGATGATGGGATGTGCCTGGGATGTGGCGAGATCGGGGCTGATGTGGCGGGAATGTGGCGGGATCGGTAGGGATCGTTGGTAGTTTGCGGGGGATCGTAGAGGGATGTGGAGGGATGGTGGTGTGATGGTGAGGAGGGTGGCGATGTGCGGGATCGTGCTGGGAATGTGGCGAGATCGGGTCCTGGAATGTGGGGGGAAATGTGGCGGATCGTGCGGGATCGTTGGCAGGTTGCAGGGCCGGGGATCGTAGCGGGGATTCGTGGCGGGATGGTGGTGTGATGGTGAGGAGGGTGCGCGATGATGGCGGGATCGTGCTGGGATGTGGCCGCGATGGGCTGGAATGTGGGGGAATGTGGGGGTCGTAGCGGGATGTGGCAGGTTCGCGGTGGGATGCGTAGCGGGATGCGGTGTGCGGGATGGTGGTGTGATGGTGACGGAGGGTGCGCGATGATGGCGGGATCGTGCCTGGGATGTGGGAGATCGGGCTGGAATGTTGGCGGGAATGTGGCGGGATCGTAGCGGGATCGTGGCAGTTGCGCGGCGGGGATCAGTGGCGAATGTGTGCGGGATGGTGGTGTGAATGGTGGACGTTGAGGTGCGCGATGATGGGGGATCGTGCCTGGGATGTGGGAGAATCGGGTCTGGATGTGGCGGGAATGTGGCGGATCGTAGCGGGAATGTGGCAGGTTCGGGCGGGATCGTAGGGGATCGTGGGGATGGTCGTGTGGATTGGTGAGGGAGGGTGCGCGATGATGTGGCGGATCTGCCTGGGATTGTGGCGAGATCGGGGCTGGAATGTGGCGGGAATGTGGCGGGATCGTAGCGGGATGTGGAGTTGGCGGTGGGATCGTAAAGCGGGATGTGGGCGGGATGGTGGGTGTGATGGTGACGGGAGGGTGCGCGATGATGGCGGTCGTGCCTGGATGTGGCGAGTCGGGCTTGGTGAATGTGCGGAATGTGGCGGGAATGTAGGCGGGATCGTGGCAGGTTTCGCGGCGGGATGTGCGGATGTGGCGCGAATCGTGCGGGATGGTGGTGTGATGGTGACGGGAGGGTGCGCGATGAATGGCGGGATGTGCTTGGATGTGGCGAGGTCGGGGCTGGAATGTGGGGGGAATGTGGCGGGATCGTGGGCAGGTTCGCGGCGGGATCGTAGCGGGATCGTGGCGAATCGTGGCGGATGGTGGTGTGATGGTGAAGGGAGGGGCGCGGATGATGGCGGTTATCGTGCTGGGATGTGCGAGACGGGGGATGATGTGGCGGGATGTGGCGGGATCGTAGCGGGATCTGGTGCAGGTTTCGCGCGGGATCGTGGCAGGTTTTCGCGCGGGATCGTTAGCGGATCGTGACCGAATCGTGGCGGGATGGTTGGTGTGGATGGTGACGGGAGGGTGCGCAGATGATGGCGGGACTCGTGCCTCGGATGTGGCGAGAATGGGTGGAATGTGGCGGGAATGTGGCGGGATCGTAGCGGGAATCGTGGAGGGTTTCGCGGCGGGGATCGTAGCGGGGATCGTGGCGAATCGTGGCGGGATGGTGGTGTGATGGTGACGGGGAGGGTGCGCGATGATTGGCGGGATCGTGCTTGGGATGTGGCGAAGGTCGGGGCTGGAATGTGGCGGGAATGTGGCGGGATCGAGGCACGATCCCGCCATCATCGCGCACCCTCCCGTCACCATCACACCACCATCCCGCCACGATTCGGCTACGATCCCGCCGCGAACCTGCCACGATCCCGCTACGATCCCGCTACGTTCCCGCCACGATTATGCCACGATCCCGCTACGATCCCGCCGCGATCCTGCCACGATCCTGCAACGATCCCACCACGATCATGCCATAATCCCGCGGCGATCCACTAATGAGGACGAAGCACGGAAAATAGGGCTTCCGCTCACGAGGACAAATCATCACGGCCTCACGCCGCTCGAAATATAACTATGACTCGAGCCTAACTGCCACCGAGGGGAGCCACCTCTCAGAGGGTACCAAACCACGGAGCTACCTCCCAAGCTACGAGATTGGCGAAAGTAGGACTACGTCATAGTGCGGAGGAGGAAGGCAGTTAGATACATAAATACGGAAATTCCAACATTTTACCTTCTTAGTGAAAACTGTTTCGACAAGGATTTACTTTTGAAAGGGATTTTGTATTGATTATTTACAATAAACCACCAAACATATCACTGACGTAATTACAAAGGCATTGTCTATTGGGCGTCGCATATTAAAATGGTGTGCACCGGAAATAGGCAGACACACTACGATATATGCATTTCAGTGGCTAGTCACACAACAAAGGTACACAGGGTACACAGAAATGGGGAGTGAGGGGATAGGGATGGAAGCAGATTTCGGCACTCGTTGCGTCGTCTGCCAGACGACGCCTTTGTAATCGAGGGTTAAAGGCGATACCGCCTCGCGTGTGGGGTCTTTCTGGGGACGCTGCTGAACCTGAGGGATTGCATGGAGGCGGCCGCCCCCTCTTCGAACTCGTCACGGAGCCACAGCCCTTTCGGGGTGCTCCAATCGGAGTATCTAGTCATATCCGCACCAACTCGACGGGAAAAGGAAAAGGAAGTAGTGTGTTTTGGCATAAACAGATAGGGCCGCAGCAGCGGACCAGCGGCGCGCCGGAGTGGCCGGTGACACTCTGGCACCGGCCGACTGAGCGTCGGACCCAGCAATAGAAGGTGCTGGGAGGCGCCGCTAGGGGGCAGGGCGGCAGCGGCGGCCAGGCCGCCCATTGCGCCGGAACTGCGCGGGAAGAAGGGAGACTCGCTCTGCAGGCTCGGGAGCTATAAAGCGGCCAGCCCGCGGGACCGGACACAGTGATAATCCTAGTACAGCGAACGAGCGCAATGAGCGACTAGGTGCCAATTTTGTTTTTAGGCGTGCAGTGTTGGTAACCGTGATTCTCCAGGTGGTTGACGATTAGTGTTTGTAAAAGAAACATCTTCTGGAAAACGGCGAACTGGCTTGTACTTGGTTTATACTTTTGGGTTCGGAATAATAAACCTGCATTGTTGATAAAAATTGTTGTCTTCTTAATTGTTCCTGAATATACAACATAGTGAGCTCGCCGTAATGGCGTAATAGAAAGATTGTGTGTGGCAGGAAAGACGGAGATGCTCAGTGATTTCGGAAATAATTTTTACATTTTGCTATGAAAGTAATTTGTACGTTTGGCAAAAGAAATAACTCTTAGTGTAAATTCAATGTATTAATAGAATACTAATAGCTGTAAGATATTTATTAAATGAGTTGTGCAGAATGTATTATAGGGAATACTAATAACCGTATTGGAATAATAGGATAAAACTTTTAGAATCACATGTCTATGTAAAACTTACGATTCTACATAGAAGGAAATATTCAACAACAGAATAAATACATCCTTTAACTGTTCGTTGGTCACCAATTTCAACCATCGCATTTCACTACTACATTGCATGAAAATATCTTGATAAACTTAAGAGAATGAATGTCTTCAGTGATGTAGTAAACCATAAGACATTCCTGAATATGCATCTGTCCCCTCTCAAATCAGCATTTAAGTAGTTATGTGAGTACCAATATGAAAAGGTATTCGAGAAATAACACTACGAATAACACATAAATTTGAATAGGAAAGGTTTCTATACGTACAGATTAAACCTTTTGACAAAATTTTGCTATTCCATATTAATAAGCAATAAAATTTGAAAACATTATCGGCTTCACAATTAGAACTACGTAGTCAAAATGGAAGGGTCAGGAAGTTTGATTATATTAATTAAATGTATAGTGTTTAGTTACTATATTTATTCTTCCAGGTGAAATAGTACATTTTTATTTCATGATATACCTCCTTTCACTTACTAGGATCCAACACGCTTCCGACGAAGAGAATAACATCACCCTTCACTATAATCAGTACGAAAGGATGATTAGCCTTGAATTGCTTGGGACCCCTTGGAACTACGCCACCTTCAGTGGGCTGAACTTCAGCTGAAAAATAAACATGTTTCAGTTAGACATAATTCTTAATATCAATATTTGATCTATTTTTACATTCCCGTACACCTATATGCACAGTTTTATACGTAGTAAAGGAAAAGTTTATATGCGGAGCAAAAAATTTCGAATTTTTGTCAGAAAAAAAATAAATTGCCGTGGTAACGAAAAAGTCGATATGTCTAGTTGCTAAATTAAGATAAGCATTTTCTATGACCAAAATCCCAGTTTTGTGGGTCCTAGAAAAAACAATTGACGGCAAAACGTCCGCCCGTTTATCAGTTTGTGAAAGTCTTTCGATCTGGTTCCACTCAAGGCGCTGCGATTTGAAAAACGTTCTTCAAAATGAGGGAGTACTTTACATGAAACCTCCCGGACATTTTCAAAATTTTCTCAAAAGGGCACCACATTTTTCTTCAATTTTTTTGTAAGGAAAGAGTTAAATACACATATAAGGGTGGCATAGGTCAGCTTTGCACGATTAACTGGATTTTCGAAAATTGCCAAATTTTGTATTTTCCAGCGCCTTCCTATATCTACAAAATTGTAGATAGAGACTTTCCGTTCAAATAGAATTTGTTTTCCATTGTCAGTTCTTTAATCAAGGTCATCTACATTTCTCTAAAAAAATTTTGCAGTTTTCGCGCAATATTGTGTGCAAAATGAGCAATTTTAGAAAATAACAAAAACAAGAAGAAAAATTGCTCCAAATTTTTCTTTAAACTTTTGGTTTGAAACTTTCTTTCAATTTTTGATTTGTTTTTCTTGAAGCAAACAGCAATATTTTATCTGTGAGTTAAAGTACTTACAATGGCTTTAAGTGAATTTTTCGAAAACTGAAACAAGTCTGTGAAAAAGAGCTTGGTTAGTTAATTGGAAGGTTAATTAATTCTACCTACATAAACTAAAAATGTTGTGTATCAAAATTTTCACTAATATTAAAAATTATTTCTTCATTAGTTAATTTTAATTTAATTGGATAGTCTCAAATCAAAGGCATTACCACGAGCAACATTTAGTAATGATATCTGCAATCAAATTTAAAAAAAGTGTTGATATAATCAAAAGTTGTAAACTAGTGGTGCTACAGATTGGCACAGCTATTTGTGACACAGCATGTGTTAGGTGACTCTCTAAATTATTTGGTTTCGGCTAGGTTCTCAGTCTTCCCCTACCTCTTTACCAGCAGCTATCTATCGCCGCCCAATTTTGTGGCCCTCTAAGGCAGAATTGAATTATAACTAAGAATTTTATAGAAGAATAAAACCTCGACCTACAGGGAATTTTTCGTCGAAAAATGGGAGAGCCTTCTTTAAGAAAATGTGATTTGAGCTCTTCTGAAAATGCAAGGAAATTGTAGTAATACTCGAGTCTTAAGTAAAAATTCAGCCAACAATCTGGGATACTTGTATTGGCGCGAGTAATGGTATCGCATTGCAAATACAAAATCAAGTTGTTGTATTCTACAAAAGCAGACAGTCTGCAATTTCCTTCTGTCGTACCTGGGACAGCACACACTTCCGTGCCATTCTCATCCAAACCGATGAAGGTCTTCTGAATAAAACTATCCACGTAGAGGGTCTGATTGGTAATGCCAGTAAGATTTGCATTCTCGTCGAACAGGTGAACGATGCCAAGCTGCGAAACAAAGAAGACCTTTCACTACTCGCCAAACATTTTGGAATACGTTGACACTGTCATCCTTAACGAATCTCGTTTCTTAATCTTCATTATTACTTATTATTTAGGGCGTTCAACCTTTTTATTAGACGTTATATGTTTTAGAGATAAAAGTTAAAGTACATCAATAGCATGCACTTTCTCGCATAAGAAACTGTTACGTTAAATTATAATACTGCAATTTCTTTCTATTTTAACACACTTCAAACAGTGCTTGTAAAAGTGGTTTAAAAAACTTAAATATCTCGAAATACCCAGCATAGTATTTAAATTAAATGAAGGTGCATTTCTCCTTCCATCTAGTTATAGAACAATTGGTCACTTTTGTAAGGTGATCAAAGACTCAGTTATCTCTCCAGTCAATAATATACGCGAGACAAATTCAAGGTAGTCATCATTTCGATAAGTAAAAAGTTAAGTCATCATTTCGATATATGCAGTAAAGTAACAGATACTACTTGCGCAAGTTTTATTGTGGTCCTTATTTCCTATTCCTGTTCATTATCCATCCTTCCCAACAGTCGAATTGTGAACAAAAAATATTGTAGGACGACACATCGCATGTAATTAACAGTAAGTTTCGTTCAGGTATAATAGAAACCCTGCATTGATTTACGATCTCAATATTTGACTTGATAATACTGTCCACAACATACACTCCCGCAATTCCCCTCGCATGAACCAAACTCAGATTAAGAAGGCTAACTTCACAATCTAAAAATTAGGCTAGTATCCACCACCGACTAGTGGTGTTGCAGATGTCTGCCACTAGTAAACAGAATGATCTTTCATTTTTTCCTATTATTTTATATTTACACAGCGACTCATTTTCTTATTTACACTACACAGTGACTCATTTTCCCCTTTTTTTATTTGACTCCTTTTTGTAACACGTTAACGGTCGGGTTAACACGTACCTCTTGCAGTTGTTCCTTAATCTGAAAAGTGCATTCAATGCGCACCCTCGGTAGAGACACGTAGACGGGCCCATTATTTGGAGTTAGGTCACTCAAGACCAAATTTTCCAGGCCCATCTCCAATTTCTTCAGACCGTCGAGTTGTTTTGGCAACAAGATGATCATTTGCAATGCTGCATCTCCAACCTGTTGATTAAAAACTAGGAATTATTGTAAAGAAAACTTTAAGTTGAACTATCTGTTCTAATTTATTAACCTTAAAAAATTTTAAATTATAGTATTTAGATTTATTTTAAATTCTTATCATGAACATTTTATATATTTTCAACTGTACTAAAATGGCTTTCGAATCATTATTTACCTAAAAATGTTTGGTGCAATTAACAAAGCACAGATTAGCAATACTATGAACTTATAAATAGCTTAATTAATTTGTATCGATGTTTGTATTATCTTCGAAATGTGACCTTTCAACTTGAAAAGTCTTCGATCGGCTGTTCAAAAAGTATGTTTTATTCCTTAATAAAATTCATATATTTTTGCTCTGTTTAAAATAGGTATTGTTAGTGTAGGGCAGTAGTCACGGAAACAAAAGTTGTCTGAGTGGCGGTTAGACAAAATCATTCAAGCAGAACTTAAAGAAAAAACTATTGCTCGTTGCATTTATGTTATTCGAGATTTATAATAAAGCAAAAAACAGCAATATTCACCAGAAAATAAATTACTAGTATTAATATTACAAATACTATTATTATTTGAATTTTTCCTGTTGATCATTTCTTAATGATGTTGAGCTATATGTAGATCTGGACCAAGTAGAATCCAATTCTTTTGAAGAGCAACTACAGACGTACAAAACGAAAACGGTTATTATTTGTATGGGCAATGAAGATCACATGATAAAAAATATTTAAAAACTGTTCAATTCAATTGTTCAAAAATGTTCAATTACCGCACTGCCACGTCAGTCCGCACACTCACGGGTCACCAAATGCGTCGCTAATCTCTAGTTGCTACACGTCATCGCAGAAACTCGCCTATTTTGCTTCTGCCCATCACGGAAAGGTACGAGTATTTTTCCCAAGAGTGTCTACCAATTCCTTGTGACCCTGGATATTTCTCCTGCTGAGAACGGCTATCTTTTTGTACGAGTGTGTGCTATCTTTGTGTATGCTGCTCTAAACGGGTTATATTCATCTGGCATGGCAGCAGTCAGTCAACTGTTTTCACTTCCCCCTCTGTTTTTAGAGACACAGAGTCATCTGTTGTTGCAAACGCTCATTAGAGCATGTCTTTCACAAGACAAATAAGATTGTGATATCCGATGACGTTTCTTTTAGAAAAAAACGTTGCCATGATCTCTACCCAAAAACTCATATTATTATTGTTGTTCATATTATTATTGTTTGCGATATTATTATTATTATTATTATTGTTGTTGTTGTTGTTGTTGTTGTTAAGAAGAAGAAGAAGAGTATCTATAAGAATCAATTAAAATATTTGGGACGCTTTGAGGGAAGACACTTACCCCATTGTACGGGAGACGAATTGCTTCAGCATCGAGGCCGCATACCTCTCCCCAGTCGAGGGTAAACACTCCGTGCATGGTCGGAACACAGACTGCGTTGTTGTAAGCCAGGAAGAAGTCCTCATTAGAAGTTTCAGCTGTGTTAAACGGCGTCAACCAACCGGCTTTAAAGAAAGTTGCATTCAACATCACCAGTCTCGTCGCCTCTGAGATGACCACTAAAAAGAGAAGACCTTTGTCATACGAGTATTCACAACTTTTCAATTCCATCCTTAAGATTGCTTGTGAAATATCCCCTGCTCACTGAAAGGACTAAAGCGAACGAATAGTTTAGGCTCCTTAAGAAAATTTACAGTCCCCATAAATTCAATTTAGATGATGAAGAAATGTGGTATATCCAACAAGCATTCGATTTGAATTCAAACTGTATAACACCATTTGTGAATCAACCAGCGTTCTTGTGTGAAGCGTCTGCTTTGCCTGTTATCGTAATCTTTGCGTTCCAAAAAGAGATAATCAAAAACCGATTTGAGCTTGTACGTAATACGTTTCGCATTTCAACGTCCTCGGTACTGAATATCGCTCTGTACCTCTTCCCTGAAAGTAAACCTCTTCGGCAGAAGCTTAACAAAACTCACGTCGTGAGAATACGTTCTATCTAATGTTTTTGAAATTTGATTCACTTATATCATCGTAATTTATAAAAAAAAGTTATTACTACGCTTGATATTAAATTCCACGAGAGTATAAAGTGGGCAATGGACGAGTTGTAGTTTAGTCGTTAATGGGATGGGGACGACCAACCTTTGGATAAAATGTCTTTGATTGCGCCTTGGGTGATCCTCTCGACGTCGCGGTTTGTGTTGCTGCGCCAGACGTTGTTGAATGTATCCGGCTTGACGTGCGCAAAGTAGCTCTCGTTGGCCACTTTGCAGAAGTTATCCTCCAGCTTTGTGCCGTCTCGCACGAAGAGCCAATTGTGGGAAATCAGCGTCACCAAACGCTCAGCGATCTGAAACGCCACAGAAAATTGTCTCTCTACTACCTCAACTCTTCTACTCGATTCATTCCTCTCTCTCTTCTCTCTCTCTCTCTCTCTCTCTCTCTCTCTCTCTCTCTCTCTCTCACTCGCTCTCTCTCGCTCGCTCTCGCTCTCGCTCTCGCGCTCTCTCTCGCTCTCGCGCTCTCTCGCGCTCGCTCTCGCGCTCTCTCTCTCGCTCGCTCTCGCGCTCGCTCTCTCGCTCGCTCGCTCTCTCGCTCGCTCTCTCTCTCTCTTTCGCTCGCTCGCTCGCTCTCTCTCTCTCTCTCTCATAGCAGAGAGAGAAATAGAGGGATATTTGCATGTAAATATTTCTTTTTCTCTAAGACTAACAACTAGGGTAGGTCAGAATATATATATATATATATATATTTTAATATCGTACATATGAGTGCAAAGTTTATCTGCCTTTCTTATGTTTTACTTGCACATTTACTTCAATATTTAGATACAAATGTGAAAGAATGTGGCGAGCTGCAGATTGTTTTCAGTCTGTCACATTGGATACCTGTGAAGTGAGGTGCAAAGTACCTGCAACTCCTGCAGCAACTCTTTATAGCCAGCCGCCGTTTTTTCATTGTCAATGTAGATCTGCAAAGCCCGGTCCATCTGGCTCTTGGTTATGCCTCTGGCTCCTTGGCGGGTGAGCGTCAGCAACACGGAAGCAGCCAGCGGGGAGATCACCAGATTAGGTCTGCCCGGCACCCTCTCATCCCGCACACGCTGTCGAGACAATGGGAGGTGAATCGAAATGTCGAATATGTCCTCGTTGACGTACACACCACATTATTACTGCGAGGATTCACTGGTGAAAAGGTATTGAACACTAGAAAACGTATGTATTCGTAGTGATTGTGACTTTGAAATTATTATTATATTCGGACTATTATATTCATTTGTTGAATGAATTTATTATTTCTTGTTGCTTATTTTACTGACACAAAACATACGCATCTCGATAATAGTGTGCATTTTTTTGTTTTGTGTAAAATTGTCAAGTTATAAAATTAAATTAAAACATTATTTTCAAATAGAATTTCGTTAAATATCATAGGTAAAACATTGGACCCAACGTACCATACATTCTGTCACAGGGGCATTGACACGCGGCTTTTGTTGTACATTTTGTGCTTTAAAATATGTATTTCGCATTTAGAACCCAAACAGTGGACTTACGTGAAAATTGTGAATTTGATTATGTAGCATGAAATATGTATGTATAGATACTATGAACATTACAATAGAAAACACGTTTCCTCAAACAAGAACCCCCACAAAGGTCTTTCCGTCAAAAGTTTGGCATCGAATTTTTGTAACATTACGTAGCTTGTTTTGTAGTAAGCATCATATAGTAAACGAGAAAGTACAGGATGTAATTGTGGTGTTAATTTTTATGTCGCTTTGAAATTACTTCTTCTCAGAATGTTTTGGAAATATTTGTGAGAGAGAAACAATAGTATTACATCTTAAATTGGTAAATAGGAATTCAGCCCGACTACGGATATAACTTTTCTTTCTGTTTTACGTCCATCAGGTCACTGAACTATTGTAAGGAGTCGAAATTTGAGGTGATATTTCGATCGTGTTGGGCATCAAGGTGATATGGGTATTACCCGCGAACGTTTTCTTGAGCCCTCATTTTGATAGATGCGAGAAGAGTAAAGGTTTGGTAATTACGACGACAGGACAATTATATCAAACCTATAGGCCGTTTTGCGATGAAAAATAATTTCTATGATATGGGAGGAAACATTTCTTATAATGAGATTTGTGAACAACGCTCGTCGCTAACATTTATGCTTAATTCAACTAATATTAGTAAAGGAGTGGAGGTAGGTATTGTAGGGATCAAGAAAACGTGGTGATGTAATATGCAGGGACTACTGCGATAAAAGCACAGTTTGTCAATGGTTTTCGTCGTCAAGGAGACGGTCGATGTGAGAAGACAGACGAAATCAACAACTTGAGACAGATAGTGGACGTTCTGGAATGAGGACGTAACTCATTGATAGTTTCCAGTCAGTGGCGAAAACCAATGAAGAATTTTGACGTATGAAAGGCAATGTGATATTGGCGGTATATTTGTTTGAGGACATTATTACGGATAAATTAATGAACTAGAATATTTTGGAGAGTCAATAGTGAAGGGTACATATGGAATTGTATATTAAGAAATGATATTTGGTTATTTGAAAGATCACGTAGATAAACTTATGTATTGTTTTGGAAATTTGTTAAAGTAATTATATGTTAAATTGTTCTTTACAGATTGCAAACAATATTATGCAAAGTTTTTTGTTATTGTTTCAAATAAATGTTCCCTTTTATTTGGAAATTGAAAGCATTTTGATTCAATTGTTACTTAATTTATCTCTGGTGTACGCCCTAGATTTAAATAAATATTAAAGTCGTCAGCCTCAATAAGTATTAAATGGATATTTTCATTTCCTCCATTAAATAAATATATTAATATTACAAGTAAAACCAACTCACTTCTGATTCTTCACATTTGTTGAAAAGTTTCTGAGTTTGTTTTTTTTTAACACAATGACTTACGTGTTGCTATGTGGCTTCGGAATTTATCCCAAATTATTCTACAGCTAATTCTATGGTACGAAAATTACTAGTACGAATATCATAAAAATAACTATAATGTTAATAATAATTATAGTAATAATTAGTATTATTACTATTATTATTACTTTTTATCTTTTAGATATAACATTCGCACGGTGCATTGACGTACTGACCTTGTAAAGCTTCAGGGAAAACCCATTGGCTGCGGCAACCACGTCAGTTCTTGGCGACGACATTGTAGTCTCACTCCGAACACAAAGCACTGGAAATTTAGAATCAATATAATTTACACAATTATGGAGCTGCACGGAATTCTAAAACTCGAAAGTAATCGTTCAAGATTTCGTACACTCATAAAAAAATTCTACGGGTGATAATAGTTTCCGTCGGGAGATTTTCCTTCTCTAAATGAATAAAGCCCACACATATACATATAAGCATTATATATAATTTAATAAGTTGGTTCTTTGTGTTGTGCGGTAGGTCAAGTTTCCCGCTACTACCTCCGCGCACCCGTTAGAGAACTCTCTCATGTTAAACGTAACACTCTTGTCTTTCCTTCTATTACCATCCTAAGATGGAAAGTTGTTAAAAAAACGTTTTTATTGGTTTTAAAATATATAAAGATCGATATTATCGATATCAAGCAACTATTAATCGTATTTCTAGTTGTTGCTGCGAAACCGAATCTTTAATTAATGATTATGCAAATAAAGCAAACCGCGGTGTATATAGAACGCGTAAATATAAGATGTACGAATATAAGATGTGGGAATTTAGATGGGCATGCCTGTTAAGCCTGTCGTGGGAAAGATGAGCACACAAGGACTGAAATATGATTGATATTGATAGTATCGATAAGCAAAACCAGCAAAAATTTAATTGAATGTCCAAGAATATTTCATCCTGTAGATTACGGGGCGAGAAACTGTTTTTGTGCCCATTGGCCTCAACAGTACAGTTTTCAAGCCCCTTAAACGCTTTGTTTACGAGTTATTTAATGATATAAAGTAATTTTGACTACTGTTGCAGGTTGCGTTTGACAGGAATATTTAGATGCGTTCTTTAAACAAATCCTTCATATTTTTGAAGTCAAACTGCTATTTGCCACATCTATGTGAAACTTTCTTTTATATAACCTCATTTATAAAAATTGATACCTGCAAAAGGTATGTATACTACTGAAATAGCATAGGAGACTATTACTTCCCCTAACACCATTCCTTTCCACAATTATCCGTATATTAAGGATCCTTGATACTGGAAATTTGACTGACATAAATGTCTGGGTATCCGCCCGTCCGTCCGTCCGGGATCGCCGGTAGTGCCGTAACCTTCCAGCCAATTTTCTCTTAAACCGGTATTCCCCTATCGATCCGATTGCGAGTTTGAGACAGATATTTTATTTGTGAGGGTACGATACATTAATCCTCAATACTTCCAAAATTTCTCGAAATGCCTTCAAATTGTTTCAAGAAACTTTGCCCTCGAATAGCGTAAATGACGCCTAAGAGAAAGGCGCAAATCTCATTGACATACCTGATTTTTTCGAAAATTACATCAGTTCAATTTTTTCGGCATCATACTACAACTAGGAATTTTTCTGTGACGAAATCTGTTTTTTAAGACAGACCTTAAAATGATATCAAGATCAATTTTTCCAAATTAGGAAAAGTTTTCGAGTAATTTTATGGGGGGGAAAGCTATTTTATTTTTTTATGTTTTTTCTCAAAAACAGTATCAAATTAGTTCTTAAAAATTTCTTCATTGTATCAAAGAACTGTAAAAATTTCGGTGCTTGTCTCTTTTCCGCCAAAATCTTTGCATTTTCAAAAAATTGCAAAATTTTCAAAAACTGCTAAATTTTTCAATATAGATAGAGACTTTTGCTTTACTGTAAAAATGTGGTGCTAGTCTCTTTACCGACGAAATCTCTACATTTTCAAAATATTGCAAAATTTTCAAAAATTGCAAAATTTTCAAAAATTGCAAAATTTTTCAAAATAGATAGAGACTTTTGCTTTAAATACAATCTTATTCAATCTATTCCTCCATGTCACTAACTCGTCCCCTTCGTTTCCACCGCTGTGCACGCACTCACCCGGCACTGCAAAGAGGAAGACCAGCGAGTAGCTCTGCTCCCAGACGCCGCGCTGCGACAGTTGTGGCCGCTCTCGCCCGCTCCGCTTTTATTCCCTGGGCCGCAGCCCCACGTGACGAGTCCTTGGCGCAACGCTGCCTCGGCGGTCGAGGTGCATCCGTTGGCGGCAGGTAGGTGCCTTCTTCCTCAGGAAACCACTGCACTTACCTACTTCATTTCGAAGGACTCCCCTCCCCCACAACCACATCTCATTTCTCCGCTGAGTAATTTTGAATCAAATCTTACAAATTTATTAAACAAAAACTACCTAAACAAGATTTTCTCAAAAGCACCTCCAATGTCTTCTTCAAAAATATTTGTGCAGATGAACGCTTGTACAATGAAATTATATCACATTCGTAATTTACAATAATATCTTCAAAATTGCAAACATTTCTTATCGTCTATTTGTGTCATTGATGTGTTTAATAAATCTCACAGGCATCCAGTATGACTCAGGCAACGATTGTAAATCCAGAAAGGTTTTGTATTAAAAGACGTTTTGCTCGTGTATGATATTCTGACGATCAAGTTGAAACTGCTATTTGATCGATCGATTTTCCGCAGCATTACATGCCGAAACTATTGCTAAAACAGCAAGTATTTTTAGGCTCGTACTTTCACGCAAAATTACCGAATTGAAGTCAATTTTAGAAAAATTGCATATTACCTTATTTTAAAATATATCTATGAGAAACAGATTTCATTGGAGAAAATATGTCCATCTCTAATATTTCAATTGTAGGAACACTGCGAAAAAATGTAAACTTTTAAGATTCTCGATAAGTCAGGGTTGTTAATGAATGTGTGACCTCCACCATTCTCTTAAACGTCCATCACACAATCCACCAACAAAATTTAATAAACGATGGAGCCATTTTTTAATTTGAAAAATGTCCCAGAGGCGTCAAGTAAAGTACCCAAAAAAGTAATGTATCTGTTTCAAATTCAAGGGGTCGCAACTTCAGATCGATTGGGTAGTATTAATTTTGGAGAAAATCGGCTGAACGGTTTAGCCGCTAGTGTTGTTCACGCACAGACATTCCGACGGACGGACGTTTTGCCGTTAATCGAATTTTCGGTACAAGGGATCCACAAAATACGGATATTGGTTTGGCCACGTGTTACAGGATATTTTTTTTCTAAATGCAGCAAGCGAATTAGATTGAAAAATGTATAATAGAAACTATTTAACATAACACTATAGTAATATTCTCTAAACAAGCTCGTTTTAACACGAATTACAAGTTACTCCTTGTCTGAACATGAAAAGCTATACCTTTCCACATTTAAGAAATTTCCTCAAATTGACATTATTAATGCTACTGCATAACTACTTCATAATTCAACACGTACATGGATTAAGGTAGGGACATCAGAATTTACGAAAACATTCACAAAATACGTTTCACAAAATATTGTATTGGTTATCATTTTTCCTTTAGTGAAATAAATCCACTAACAAGGAAAATTAGAAATATCCATTTATTTATTTCAGTATTGACGATTTTATGGTATACATCATAAACTTGAACAGGTTAACTTTCCCGTTGATTAAATAAAAAAATTCAATTTAAATCAAAATAAAACATTTATTTGCAATATTAAACAATACTAAGGAGAAGAAACATTAACGAGAAGAACCTTACACAAACGATTAAAAGAAAAAAACAGTCTGTTCGTATTTCAATATACGTCTTCCTGCTCACGTATACAAGTCAAATTTCATTCATATTTTCCTCAAATCATCCAGCTCCTCCAAGACATGCAATACTTGTCGACGATTAAATTACTCAGTCTTTGCTTCTAACTGAATATCATCTTACAGTTCATAAGATTCGTCGTTCACCTGACCATATATCACTGCGTTCAGTAAGTTGTTCATTTCAATTCTGGTTATTGATTTTTACTTTCGTGTATACGTGCGGAGTAATATACGTAGTATAGGGAAAGTTATGTAATGATGAGGAAAATCGATTTCGAGATGTGAACGGAAATACACGTTTTGGGGTCCCCTGATACAGAAAAGTGTTTTTTTCAAAACGTCCGTCCGTCCGTCCGTCTGTCTAGTGTATGTGAAAACACTAAACCATAGGATATTTTTTCAAATTGAAGAACCCCGTGTACAATTGGCCTGAGACAAAGCTCTGCTTTGCAGAGCTTTGAAAATCATTCATTGGTTTTTGGAAGTACTTTACATAAAGCCATTGGGACATTTTTAAAATTTTCTCAAAAATGGCTCCAAATTGTGTCTTTAAGTTTCTCATAAGAATATAGTAAAATGCAAAGGTCTTATTTTCACTGTTAACTGAATTTTCGAAAATTTCAAATGTTTGAATTTGGGAGGGGGAATTTGTTGTCCATAATTTGTTCTTTCATTATGGTCATATACATTTTTTGAATTTTTTTCTAGTTTTCGTGCAATATTGCGTGCAATTTATACAATTTTAAAAAATTGCAAAAAACAGATTTTTTCATAAATTCCTTCAAATTTTTTCTTCAAACTTTTCGAAAGGATAATGCTAATTGCACTCTTTAATATGACGTAAAGTTCATTTCTTGGTATTTTTTGTTTTTACAAAAATTACACAAATGAAATATTTTAAATATTTCTCACGGTAATATGCACATTTACTGTAATTTGTAAAAACTATTGCATTTGTTAGTTTAAGTGCTTGAGATGTCTTCAAGTGAAGTTTTTCTAAAACTCAAAACGTTTCTGTAAAAAGGTGCTCCAAATTTCGAATTTACTGTAGCACTTAAGCGCTATTTTGATAAAGACGGCTCCAAATGTTTCAAAGAAAATTGCTATTATGGACACAGTTTACTGTTCTTTATTATTCTTGAAATAATATTTCCATTCGTTCACTAGAAAACCCAAAAATGAAGAAAATATAAAACAAATTACTTTTCGTAGCTGGCAAGATTTGGCAAGTTCGTATAGCTAGTCGTGGCAAAAGGAAATAGAAAACTAATACGGGAATTCTACGTCATTCCGTAACACTACTAGTTTCATATTTTTGAGTGTCTTGTCTGTCAGTATGGAATCCGTCATATATTTATACTGGCGAACATCGAAAGTCTTTGATTATCTTGACTCGTAACAGTATATAGTAACATAAAATTAAAATGTTCGTTACCATTAATGATACACATTTTTTCAACATTTCTTTCATGTAAAATATTAAAAATAAAGCTAATATAATCCAAACTCACATAATGAATAATAAAATAATAATTGTGGCGGATATCTGCATTTATTTCGATGGCCTTAACCAGCATTTCTAACTTTTACAAATGATACATACAGTAACCCACGATTAAAATTTTTTGATGTAAAGAAGTAATTTGTTAGTTATAAGTAAAATTTATTACCTTCCATTGATCTACTTTCTTTCATAAGAATTGCAATACCTATAAAACAATTGTTAACCAATGTCCACGAGGCGCCATAAATTTGGAGAGGGCGAGTATGTAGTCACATTGCACAAATAATACTCATATTTTCAAAAAATTAAACACAACATTATTTGCAGATGTTTTATGAACACATTTCATTAAGAAAAAATTCTGTCTTCACAATTCTATTTGTAGGATGATGCCGAATTTTTTTTTTTAATTTTCATAATATCAAACTCTAACGAAGAGCAGACCTGTACCATTCTCTTATAAGTCCTTTACTTTGTCTAAAAGTAATTAAAAGATTTTGTAATAAAAAGTGTCCATTTTTGACACAGAGTTCGCAAAAAATACCTTTGTTTAAAAAAATCGAAAACAACCTTACTTAAAGATCTGGTTGAATACATTTTTTCTAAAGAAAAAATTGTATCTTCATAATTGTAGTCGTAGGAAGACTCCGAACAAATTTTGAATTTGTTCAATTTTTGAAAAATCAGGTTTATCAAGACGACCCCTTCACCATTTTTTAAACGTCCATCAGACTATCTAACAACAAAATTTAATGAAAATCAATTAAGCCGTTTTTGAAAAAAATATGTTTAAACAAAAAGTAAAAATGTCCTATATTTCACACAAACTTCCGTGAAAAATACTCGGCTTTTCGAAAAATTGTACATGACCTTACTTCAAAATCTATCTTAAAGGAACAAATATTATCAAGAGAAAAATCTCTATCTTCAAAATTTTAGTTCTAGGAAGTCCCCGAATTTTTTTTTCAAAAAGTAAGGGTTTTTCAACCATTATGAGACCTGAACCATTTTCTTAAACGTCTCTCAGATTATCCACCATCAAAATATCATCAAAATCAATAGCGCCTTTTTTAACAAGTTTGAAAATGTCTCGTGTGTTTCATATAAAGTAACCCTCCAAATTAAAATATCAATTTAAAATTCAAGTGGTTACTTCATCTGCCACATAGATGAGGAGTATTAACTTTGGAGAAAATCGATTGAACGGTTTAGCCGCTAGCGTTGTTCACAGACGAAGAGAAGAACAGACAACTGTCCGTCCGTGAACAACGCTAGCGTCTAAACCGTTCTATCGATTTTCTCTAAAATTGATATTCCTCATTCGATCTGGCTAATGTCTCGGCCACTTTTATTTGAAACCCATGTTTTACTTTTAGAGGGTACTTTACATGAAGCGCCAGAGACACTTCCAAAATTTTCAAAAAAATGAATCCATCATTTTCAATTAAATTTTGTTTTGAATAGTGTGAAGGACGTTTGAGAGAATGATGCAGATCTCATTTCAATTCCAATTTTTCCTATTTTCTAAAAGTAGAACCGAAATATTATTTTACAAGAATTCAAGAAGAGTAAAATGCTAGACAATGCTAATGGGAAAAAATTACAGAAACGTATTTTTTTATATGTTTCAAACGGCATTGATAATTATGTTACCAATAATTTGTGTACATTATTGCATTTGTGAGTCATTGTGGTTCAAATGGTTTTCAAAGAAATTTTTTCAAAACTCAAAAGTTTTCTGTGAAAAAGTTCTTCAAAATTAGCATTTACAGAAACGTTTAAAAGATAATCTCTCAAAAACCGCCCCAAATTTTTCAACGAAAATTTCTGTGTAATACGACTTTTTACTCTTCTGTAATATTCTCAAAGTCTTACAGCACTTTTACCATTAGAGTGCCAAAACATTGAGAAAATCTGAAAAAGTGAATTTTA